TACGAACACTTCCATTGGAGTGGTGCATTTTGACCACCAAGAAACAATTCCACGAAGCTAACACGAAGGTCCGCAATGATAAGTTGCTAGCTGCGCTATGCCCCCCAAAAGTCAGGATCTGAAGGCCTCACTTGGCCAAAACCAAGGCGAAAGAGTGTCATAGCCACCTGGCCATGTCATGACACTGCAAAAGCGACGTTCCAACTCCACAGCACTTCAAGTGGGGAGCGACAAGAAGCAATTCCACAGCAAAGAAAGGAATCCATGCTGCGCCAAAAGGTCGTTTTTCACAACGCAGCTGTATCCTATTGCTGTGGACCCTTCACTTTGGAAGGGTGTTTAAATACTAGTGGAATAATTTAGAATGGGTTCTACGTAGGCAAATGAAGCCCCTAACAACAAGTTTGGCGCCATATTAAAATTAAAAGATGGGGCGAGGTATTTTCCTGATCTCTTTCATCAAAGGGTCTAAATATGGGTTCCCAGCAAGTTTCGTGCTGGTGTACTCTACGACGTAGTCGACATAGGCCATCTCTCCTTTCCCGACTATGAGCGCTCGATCATCCCCAATCCAGCTGTTGTCGTGGCCTTCTGGCTTGCTCTTGTTGAACTCTTCCATCTTCTTGGTCCAGTCCGCATCGGTTCGGCCGCTTTTGGGATCACCTGGAACATAAGGAAAAAGACGTTTTGCATCGAAAGGCTTCCCTGCAGCCACACGGCACAGAAGCACGCGGCGTGTCTTCTTCGGCTCGTGCTTGCTCTTCCCCTCCGCAAAGAAATCGGCCAATCGGAAGTCAAGAGCAAAGTGGTGCCCCTGTCCATAGGCAGCGAATGTCATGCTGCGAAAATCATCATCAAAACCTCGTCCTTCCTCAACAATCTTCTGGTAGCCTTGCTGTCCTCCAGGCCCGTGGAACAGCCAACACTCATGCTGGGCGGTCTTGTTTTCCAGGTGCTGAACGTATTTCTTGTATGATCCGAAATTCTCGTTTCGATAGATCTTCTCAATCGTAAAACCTGGAATCTCACTCTCATTGCCACCGAACTTCATGACAAAGTCCTTCACCTTCTGGTACTGTGCCGATCCCCTGCCAACTTTTTGCAAGTACTCTTTCTTTTGGCCGTCCGATGACCACTCTCTTGGCTTGCTTCCGGTGATAAGCGGATGTCTGATCACATCGTCGTACAATGGTTCGCTGGCACAAGCACCACTTGCTGACCTTCCATTGGCCAAATCGGACCCAAGGAACTGAACAAACTTTGCAGCGCAGCTTTGCCACAAATTGACCGGCAAAGAAGTCATCTGTCGGCTCTCTGTGCAAAAGTTGAAAGCTTCCATGGCAGTGTGGTGGCAGTTGTTTCTTCCAACATCGTACCCATCAAAGCTGAGCAAGTATGTCACTAAACTACTGGGAGATGTGCCTAGTTTGATGTCAGCACCCTTTAGTGGTGCCACTTTTTCAAGTTGGACCAAGTGGGGCACCGTTCGTACCTCTTCCCAATCCGATACGAAGAGACCCTTCTTCGTGGCGTGCTTAATCTCCAGTTTCTGGCTGATCAAATCATATTGAACAGAACGAGCTCTTTCAATTGCATAAGCAAAATCTTTAACTTTGACCACAAGCACGGAGTGCTGGCCATCAAAAAAGGCAGCCCAACCAGATAAAGGCATGGTGTACCAGGAAACAGCTTCAATTTGATTGTCATCCTGTAGAGCCCTTGCTATGGCCTTCCCATTTCCGCCTTTGGTGTTGAGAAAGTCGCTCTTCAGCCTCCCTGCCAAATCCGAGTGGCCTTCCCTACGGCAATTTCCGAAGGGGTCCTTCCGTCACTATCCTTTTCTTCAGCGGAAAAGCCGCTGCGAAGCAGCAACGAACACGCCGGCCAATCTCCGGCTGCTGCAGCAAAATGAAGTAGTAAAGCTGGGCGCAACTTCTCGACAAGAGAGATCAAATCCTTTGTAACTTCCAGGCGGCCAAACAATGCAAAGACTTCTGCGCGAACCTCCTTCCGGTTGTCCTGCAGGAGGGGGACGATATGCTCCTTCAGTTTCGCCAGCTCATCTGCCGGAAGCGTCCTCAGAGACTCGCAGGCACTTGAGCGAACAAACCAATCTATATCCTTCAGGAGGGGGACAATGTGGTCTTTCAATTTCACAATCCCATCTGCTGGAAGCTCCACCAAAGTCTTGCGGGCCATTGAACGAACATCCCGAACTTCATCTTTCAGGAGTGGGACAAAGTGGTCTTTCAATTTCACAATCTCATCTGCTGGAAGCGTCCTCAGAGACTCGCAGGCACTTGAGCGAACAAACCAATCTGTATCCTTCAGGAGGGGGACGATGTGATCTTTCAATTTCACAATCTCATCTGCTGGAAGCTCCACCAAAGTCTTGCGGGCCATTGAACGAACATCCCGAACTTCATCTTTCAGGAGTGGGACAAAGTGGTCTTTCAATTTCACAATCTCATCTGCTGGAAGCGTCCTCAGAGACTCGCAGGCACTTGAGCGAACAAACCAATCTGTATCCTTCAGGAGGGGGACGATGTGATCTTTCAATTTCACAATCTCATCTGCTGGAAGCTCCACCAAAGTCTTGCGGGCCATTGAACGAACATCCCGAACTTCATCTTTCAGGAGTGGGACGATGTGGTCTTTCAATTTCACAATCTCATCTGCTAGAAACTTCCCCAAAATTACACAGGCACTTTCGCGAACATGCCAATCTGTATCCTCCAGGAGCGAGACGATGTGGTCTTTCAATTTCACAATCTCATCTGCTGGAAGCTTCCCCAAAATTACACAGGCACTTTCGCGAACAAACCAATCTGTATCCTTCAGGAGTGGGACGATGTGGTCTTTCAATTTCACAATCTCATCTGCTGGAAATTTCCCCAAAATTACACAGGCACTTGAGCGAACACAGTCACTTGTTTCCTTCAGGAGGGGGACAATGTGGTCTTTCAATTTCACAATCTCATCTGCTGGAAGCTTCCCCAAAGTCTCACAGGCACTTTGGCGAACAAACCAATCTGTATCCTTCAGGAGTGGGACGATGTGGTCTTTCAATTTCACAATCACATCTGCTGGAAACTTCCCCAAAATTACACAGGCACTTTCGCGAACAAACCAATCTGTATCCTTCAGGAGTGGGACGATGTGGTCTTTCAATTTCACAATCACATCTGCTGGAAGCTCCACCAAAGTCGTCCAGGCACTTGAGCGAACATCATCATCACTATCCTTGAGGAGGGGGACGATGTCATCCAAGCTTCGACCCAAGGAACCTCCCATGCTGAATCCCCTGGATTCGCAGGTCGGACATGGTTGGACAGAAGGGTGATGTGAATTTGGAGGTTGAATATGCGATTGATAAAAGAAAGCGTTGCATCATTTACGTTGCGCAGCCCATGCTGGGGCTCATATATATTTATATTATATATACAGTATGGATATATATATATATATATTAGATATAATACCTGAACTGTGAATGCATGGCCTTCCATCTGCAGACTTAGGTCGAGGCTTGAGGAAAACTGTCACGGTATACAGCACAGTGTCTGGGATAATGGTCTCAGCAACAAAAACCATCCATGCAACATGATGCAACGCACGAATCAAATATTCGCTGTGAAAAGCGGGCTGCAAATGTTGAAGGGCATCCTTTGTTTAGATAGATGATACCTTCCTCTTGGGTCATGCTCTGTGGATCTAACATGATCGAACAACGCAATTGTCTGAAACAGCACTGGAGAAAGTGGCTCAGGTACAAGAATCACACAAATGTCACACAGGTGTCAGACAGGCAGACCCAAAAAATCAAATAGAAACAGGCACGTTCGACCAATGCAAGCATAGGATGGATAGCTCCTGCCATTCTGCTGACGTGACAAAAAGAAACGAAAATCACCAAGAAGGATGTGTCACATGTGTTTCGGTGTCAACCATTCTTTGATGCCACCTGCGAACTCGCTCTCGAAGCTCACCAGTGGTTGCACTCCTGTGGCCGGCCTCGTGGTGTTCCTGCATCGCAGTCGGCGGGAGTCATTGCAACGCATTGCAACATATTCCACCTGATCTTGTCACAAACAAAAAACACAAGCACCTTGATATCGATACTTCTGGAAGGTCCAGGTGACCGCTTCCGATCAACCACCAATGGTTTCTCTTTCAGCCTCCAGCGGAAAAAAGAAGTCATGGGCTTCTCAATCCTTGAAAAAGTCGAACAAATCTGGATTTCTTTCATTTTCTTTGTGTCTGCTCAAGTATATGCAATTGAATCACTACCCCATCGCCAAACTCCGAAAGGCCAGGTGTGTGCTGATTGTCATCATTGTCATCATTGTCTAGTGGTTTCATCGCCATGTCAAACATGGCATGATCATGTCGGGTAGAACCCAACTCTGCGAGCAGTTGGTTCTTTCAGACATGTTTTTTGGATCTTTTTGCGATTCAAACCATCCAGTTTGAACATGCTTGAAGATTGCGTTGACCTTAGTAGACACGATGCACCTGTACTGAATGCCTTTGCCACTGTAGCTTTCAAAGGGACGACCTCAGTCGGCAGTTTTCGGGGATTGAAGACATGGACGAAAGTTCGAGTGTTAGGAGTGTTAGGAGAAGTTCGGGGATGTTCTGGGTGACAATAGCGACATGTTTGTATTCATAGCACGGGCTCTTAAAAATTGAAACCAATCCCTCATTCTCAAGCCCATAGAAAGCAGAGGGAAGTCCAGAGGAATTCAAAAAAAAAACACTTTCCTTGATCCGTGCTGCCAACAATCACAATATTCCAGGGATGTATTCATCGGTACTCGTAGTTGATACATGGTTGATACATGTGCACCAGATCTGTAGTCAATGTTGGTTATTGCTTGGCGATGTACCATGGCAATGTTCTCGCTATACACCTACCATCACCTACCTAAATTTCAACATTCGCTATGGTATTCTCCAAATTGAATCCAGCGTGTTTCCCGTGTTTCTTCTGGGGCGAAGGACTACATCACACTGCTCCTGTCCAATCACCTCCAGTCGCTCCGTGCAACTCTCTGGAAGTGCTTTCTCAACCAACGTCAGACAACAGATTGAGTGCCTATTGAAGGCAGCTGAATGACACAGAACACCATGTTTTCTAACATGTGAAAATTTGCCACAACAGTGAGAGAAAACTTTGATGACCTGCAAATACTTAGTTCACCATCCTAAAGAAAACCAGAAATCATCGAAATCATCATCTCCAAATGTTCAGTTCTTCGTACCACGCAGAAACTGTCCATCCGCTTGAGCGGCCGGGTCGGCCTGTTGCCGGGTGAACTCTGCATCGCCTGCAGAAGGGGAAAAAGGGACTCTGAAACACTCTCGAAACTGACTTGATCAATGGCACTCTGTAGCTATATGAAAAAAAGAAGTGGTACATCAAAAGACTCTTTCCTAAGCTATGCATAGCCAAATCAAACGATGTTTTTGTGTGAGCTATGCCGGTATGCATACAAATACAAAGCTGCTGAGTTAGCTGCTTTATCTTCTTCAGGCACATGGGCAGATGCAAATTCCTGCGGTCGGAAGAACATGGCGTCAAAGAAGATCCGCGAGTATTGAACCTCCATCATTTTTTGCGACAGCAACACGCTCGAGCCAAAATGAATGCTCAAATGCAATGTTGGTTTTTGTTGTTTTTTGTTGTTTTTTGTTGGTTTTTGTTGGTTTTTGGCGCAGTAAGGAATCTCGAATCTCGAAAGGTACCACGCAGGAAACTGCGTCTAAGATTAAAACTTTGCTCAAGCACAACTCATGGGTGCACTGACCCTGATCAGCTGCATCAAAGAAAACACAAAACGGCATCCTCTCCAACAATTCTGATATATCCCAAGTTCCCCACCCTGCTCTCTTTTTCACCTCGATTCAGTTCCGTTGAGCACCCGATCTACTCTCATGCCCTGCATTCAGAGCAACTTCGCATCTCTGGTTTCACTGAAATTTGGATCTGCAACGTGCCCTGGCACACGCTGTTTTCTTGCCACAGAAACGCCACTGCCCACCCTGACTAATGTTTTAAGAAAATGTTTCTCTACCCAGCATTACCCAGCCATCTCAAATAATACATATTCCAAATTCTTTCCTGGCACACAGGTCTCATGACAGTGACATTAAAAACTGTAGCAATGATTCGGCAGAGTTGACAAACGTCGGATGAAACAGCTAAAGATCATTTGCGGAAGGAAAGCACTGATCAACATATCTCTTTCTTCAGTCAGTCGCCATACTAAAATCAACAGGCCTGGAACAAGAAAGAAACGTGATAAACCTGAAACACTTAGAACTGTTTGTGGCGGAAAAACGCCCAATGCGCAGCCAAAAGATGCCTGCCTCCGGCTTCGGGACCTGCTTTGGTCAGCCATGGGCAAAACCACAGTTGCGGCTTTTTTAACAATACTTTCCTGAGGTATGAATCGATGTAGAGTATATCATACATATATATATATGTATATATATATATGTATATATATATGTATATATATATGTATATATATATATATGTGTGTGTTGTTTATTTTTTATTTATATAAATCGCATTCATGAAAGAAAACACAGATAAAGTAGCAAAATTATACAGAATTGCCATGAAACATGAAGTTTGCTGTCCTGTCTTGCATTGGTATCCAGTTTGTTTACGCGGAACTCGGCATTCCAACAACATCTTACACCCGCACCAGCACTGCGGCCCACGGTAACGCAGGAGCAGATATCGTTGTCTCATCTCTGTGATGTTGCTACCTCCCCTTGATTGGAGGGCCTTCTGATCGACCACCAACGGTTTCTCCTCAGCCTCAATGACTCAATCAGTAGGAAAACCCATTTCGCAGCAGGAAAGATGGAACATCATGGAACATCTGCAGATCTGTCTGCTTCAGTACTGGCGACTCAGCCACATCACAAGTCCCACAGCGTTGTGGCACCCTGCCTTGACAGGTGTCAACGGCACCTGTGGGCTGGAGCATGCAATGTACGGTTCACCAAAAGCAGGGGGAAGCCGTCTAGAACTCGAGTCCGAAGAGACATGTGCGACAGTTGCATCTTGAGAGTCCATTGACTACTGAAATTGAAACGACGTGTTCAACTCTCAAGCAATCACAAACATGCAAACATGACTTTGCAGATGCCGTGATGCCTAACCACTTTGCAGATGCCATCACTTGAAATTGAAAGAAAATCACTTCCCCGGGCTGCCCGGCCAGTGAATCTCGCCGATGAAATGATCGATGAGATGGATGGACTTTGTGCAATTTCCAAGAAAGTGACCACCTGAGTCAAAGGCATGTGAAAGGATGTCCTATTCAGTTTCACTTGGGCAAGCAACAAGTTCCAGATTGTTCAAGATGTGTATTTCTTCTCTTGCAAACCTGAATCATGCAACTGACCGTTTGTTCTTTTTGCTGGGGCTCTGTGGAATCCAGTTTCTTCCCTGAAAAAAGAAAGACACAAGGAATGCAAATGACACGTCTGTCAGGATATGTCAGGATATGTCAGGATTGGGCATACCCAAAAAATTGACGGCAAACAGCCAATTTTTCTGACGTCTTTACAAGAACCTTCGGTACTTGTCGTCAAGATCCAGCACCCCGAAAACAACTGGGGAAATTCGACCGCCCAAGCCTGGCGATCCAGGATCAACTCGACGGTCGCGAAGGTCCCTTTCATGCGGGGCTGTCTTCGAACCTGCCATAGAAAAAGCCGTCAAATGGGCAAAACATGGACAGACTATGTGTGATACCGACAACGAAGAAACAACCATATGAACTTGAACCACAATAGTGGGACAGCAGCCTCCCCCATCAGCTTTTCTTGTAATGTCGGTTTTCTTCCACACTCACCACAATGGATGTCCGTTCCAATTGACTTGATAACTACTAAGATCCAAAGAAATCATATGCCACTGTTTTCTTGCTTGTACCTCCTGGTTGTTGCTTTGGTACCCATCACAATCATTGGGGGCCCATGTTTTGTCCTCCGGCCAAAGGGAAAATCCATCAAGTTTCTTGTGGTTTTCCCTCAAACCATGAGTCTTGACAGTCTCCATTTCCGGGTGACAGCAGAGACCCTTGCATCATCCCCTAATTTTGGATGGTTAAATACAGTCTCGGATTTCATGCTGCTTTTTCCGAAAATCGCTTCTCAGAGCTCCCTGGCCTTTTAGTCGTTTCCAAGAAAGTGTCCCAACAACGGAAGCTTGGAGGAATTGAAAACCTGCCTGGAAACTGGTGTTATGCTACCTCGATCATCTCGATCCA